AGAAAGTTGTTAATTCCTGATGAGGTTCAAAGTAATAATATATTACTTAAAAGGCTGAATATATGAGGAGGATAAGAAGGAAATAAAATGGTCCCTTCCTTCCAAGTTAAAATGGAAGAGGACTTAGCTTGTATATATGCTTTGTACTTAAGATTCTTTGCAGGATACAAAGTAATATACATGGAGACAAATAGCATGATTTCTCCATGGGAATCATGCAATGAGTGTTCATACTCTTATGAAATGCTTGATAGTAATTTTGAGCAGGACCACTTCTTCTGCTTCTTGAGAAGCTTATATTACCATAAATGGCAGTTGGTAATATTTTTATCAATAATATGGTCAATTTTTTAGAAAGAAGCATTAAAAAGTAGCCCCAAATGAAGCCCAAGAATTATTTTCATCTACACTAAAATGATTTTATTTTGGGGATATTTAGGCTATCATTAAGGCAAATTCGTGCATACATCGATCACATACATAAGACTTGAAACCAAAATCTTTTAGTTGATAGTCAAACCTTTCAACCACTAGATCAAAATGAGCTACATAAATAATTATATTTCTAAAAGCACATGATAATATGCTCTTTGGCATATGAAGCCTCTCAATTTGATTAGATATGACACTAGTTTATAATCAAATACACGCCTTCGTTGTATTTCAGGACCTTGGTAATATTTTTTATTTTTTAAAGATAAGTAACAATAATATTTCTAAAAAAATAAAAGATAAAAATAATAAAACACAAGAGTTTTGATTCACATTCATATAGTTAAATTTTTAGATAAAAAGGAAGCCTAATCATTAATATATGAAGGTCTGTTTGGACAATTTTTAATTCACACATCTTAACAAAATTTACATGCTTAAACTAAACTCAGGCTTCATTTGGGACTACTTCCTTACTTCTCCTTAAAGCAAGTTTTTAGTATAAAAATATTTATTTTTTTACTAGAAAGTGACTTTAAGAAGCAGTAAGAAAGTCGTCCCAAAGTAAATCTCAGTGTTGAAATAGATTCAGTGAAGGATGGCAAAAATAAAAATAAACTACATAATAAGTTTCTTTGAAATCACATTAATTGTGCACAAATCTCAAGGCAATCTGAATAGGAGGACAAAAAATTCAGCTTAAATTAAGTAATCTCCGACTTCAACAAACTAATCAAACCAATCAACTAGATGCACAAACCAATGATACAAAAATGATTCAATACGTGTGCAAATAAGTCGAGATAATGTATTTTAAACATAGTTAAAGTTTTTGAAATATTAATTAGAGGATCAAATGATCTTCATATTTGGCATGCGTACAACCAAGCCAAACATCTTATCTAAAGAAATTCAATGAACTTGATATATCATCAAAAAATTATCTTGATCGGGCACGAATCTCGAGGCAAAATCAAGTTGGAAACTTCAAAAATTAAATCTATGATCATATGAACTCCAATTTCAGCAAACTTATAGTCAAACTGAACTTCTCAAAAATACAAACCCAACAATACCAAAATCTACCCAATCCGAGCTCAAATGGGTCAAAATCAAAGACCCAAAGAACATTCAAAATGTTCAATCCATAATTTGGATTACCAAACATTTTCCAAACATGACATGTTTATAGTCGAATCGAGCGGGCTCGACGAGACGAATCTAGTGAGCCCAAGATAATCAAATTATGATATCATTAAGACATTCAAATGTTTAGTAAACAGTCCATGATCAAGGAAATCAACATCAGTCGTCCATTTAAACCACTCCCAATTTACCCATGATCTTCCTTCTATTTGCTGGCCATGCCATTCTCAGAAAACTATAAATAAACCCCTCATTTCTCATGAGAAGAGACCACAAGAAAGGACATGAAGAGAAGAAAGAGAGCTCTCTTAACACTAGGCTCCTCCTTGAACACCGCTAGAATTCTACACGAAAGTCGATCGATGCCGGAGTTCTGCCTGACCGCCAACTAAAGCCGGACTTCTGCCCGACCGCCGACAGACACTAGAATTCTGCCCGATAGCCAACTGATGCCAGATCTAAGTTTTGCCTGACTGACATCGGAGTTCTGCCTGACATCCGACTGACACCGAATCTCTGCCCGACCTTCAATTAAAGCCAAATTTCTTCATGACCACCAAACGTTGTGGAATTTCCGATCTCAATTTGTAATTGGATTTCAACTCGACGGTTGATTATTGTAATTTGATCATCCTCTATTTTAAGGATGAGTTAGTCACTTGTAATCCAATCAAACATTAGTGAAATTACTTCAACTAGGCGTGACCCCATGCTTTTTTCTTTTTTCAGAGTTTTCTATATAAAATTTTGGTGTACCTTATTTCTTTTGTTTCTGTGCTAGATATCCATACAAGGCTAAGACGAAAATTTCTAACTCTATCGCCTTGTATATTCTAGCCCGCAACAGAGCTTAAGATTACTTAATTCTAGCATTATAAAGACACTTAAGGAGTTCTTTAGTTTGACGTAAAAGGGGTTCAAAGTATTACAAATGCTAGGGTTTTTAAAAAATCACTGTTTGGTTTGAAGTATAAGGAATGCAAAGTAAAATTATTAAAGTATTTAGAATTCATCCTCAAGTTAATTTTTGGTGTTTTTATTGAAAATAATTAGATTTTACCGAGGTCCAAATGCACAAAAATGTATTTTTCATAGCTGCCCATCATCGGACGAAACCACTCCCACCCTCACTAACAATCACAACATTATTATGCCTTACACCACATTCATTTTACTTAAAAAAAAAATTACATGCATTTACTCTCGATACTCCTTACTATAACATCGTGAGTTATTAGGGGGTGCTAAATTTATTAGAATTATATGTTGTTATATTTAAATTATTATGGTTGCGCCCTAGAAGATTCATGGCGGTGGAAATGCATAAAGTTTAGTGTACAAGATTTGTATGAAGATCCATAAGACAAACATATAAAAGAGAGGGTTGCAAGAGTCATAAAAGGCACCAAGATTTTTACGTGAAAAAGAGAAAACACACACGACCTGGCCCAATTAAAATGATTTTACTAGTGCTTCTTGTTTATTACAAATGAGATCCTTCCTTGAGGAAGAGGCTTTGGATCGATGTATCAAATATAAATCATATAAAGCACATTATATGGTGGGAGTGGGAAGAATTTAGTTATATAAGAGTTGTTCTCAAGAGACTCTTGATCTGTTCGTTTGGTCGGTATGACCATATTCGGGTTATGGAAGTTGAAGGGATCATAGTTGGTAAGCGAAGTAGGTCGGAGGGTCTGTAATTGGCGGGCGATGGACATCGGAGGGGTATTGTAGTTGGCAGGCAATGGTGGTCAAATTGACCATAATCGACGAGCTATGGTGGTCGAAAGGATTGTAGTCTTTTAGCTATAGATGTTAGAGGGACAGTTGTCGACGGGATACAAATGTCAATGGGACCGTATTCGGGCGGGCGACGATGGTCAGAGGGACCTTAGTCGATGGGCGACGGTGGTTGGAGGGACCGTAGTCAGTAGGCAACGGAGTTCAAAGGGATTGTAGTCGGCAGGCAATGATGGATCGAGAGACCATAATCTAGTAGCGGCGGTGGTCAAAGCGACTGTAATCTGAGGGAGATGGTGGTCGAAGGGAATATAGTAGATGAATGACAAATATTAGAGGGACCGTAGTCGATGGGTGACTGAGGTCAGAGGGACCGTAGTCGGCATGTAACAGAGGTCAGAGGGACAGTAGTCAGGGGACGATAGTGGTTAGAGGGACCGTAGTTGACGGAGGATGGAGGTTGGAGGGACCGTAATCAGCAGATGACTAAGGTCGAGTGGTGTGTCGATGGCTGCAATTGGAGGTCCGACGACCAGCATATGTTAGGTGGAGATTCACCGACGGGTAGTGGTTTGGTGACGATTAGTGACCAGGTGGAGGTCCAACAGCGGTGGGCCCCTGGGTGGAGTTTTGACAGGGGTCAATGGACAGGCGGTGGTCTAGCGACAATCAGAGGATGAGCGATGGTCCAGAGATGGTCGTCGGCCGAGCAGTGATCCAACAATGATCGACTGAAGTTTGCTGGCAGTGGTGCTTGGATAGAACTCTAGGATCCTTGAAGCCTCAGAGCTCTATCTAATTTTCAGCAAAATGGTCCAAGTTCCAAAGGTCCCACCCCCCGCGCCCCCCCCATGTGGAGATTTGTGGTCTATTTATAGATTTTTGTGAGTGACACACTTTATAAATATGGAGAAGATCTAGAGCAGGTTCAAAATGCTCCATCGGACGACCAATATTGATTCTCTCGATCATGGAGCACTTTTCAAGCATGTAAGCGCCATAATGAAGTTGGAATTAAACTATCTTGAGCTCGTTGGATTCTTCTCGACGAGCAAGTTGATTCGACTATAAGCATGATATATTTGGATATGATTTAACCATCCAATTAGTGATTTGAACCTTTCAAATGTGGTTTGGCCTGTTGATTTAAACTCATTTGGACTCGGATTGTGCCAATTTTGTTGTTGTTGGGTTCTTCTCATCAGAATGTTTAATTTAACTATAAATTTGATGAAATCAAAGTTCATATCGTCCCACATTTAATTTCGAATGTTTTCAATTTGAATATATCTTGAGATGAGATTCATGTTAAATAAAGACAATTTTTGATGACACGTTAATTATATTAATTTGTTAATGTTATCGCATATATTTAATATTCATAAAAAAATATAATATTTCTTATTACAATATATCATCATTGATTTTTTTTACTGTATTTTTTCATTACTCTTATTTCTTAATTTTAGATAGATATATTTATATTAATATTAATTTATATCAAATAAAAATATAGCTTCATGTAATTTTTATCTTATACAGTGAAACGAAGAAAATGATAATGTGAAAGCATTAAATCTTGAAGCCATATTTTCCATAGCTTCGGTGCTCGCCATTCTCATATCAAACTCCTGACAGCAATCACATGTATGGACAACCATAGACCCACCCATAATTATCATCCCACATGGTATTCTGTGATGGCAACATGACACTTCTGACCCCCTTACTCTTTCATTATTTTTTCATCTCTCTCTCTTTCTCTCGATCGATACGATCGATCGATTTCTTACCACAATAAAAACCTCACCAAACTTTCCATCAATGGCTCAGTGGGTCATCTCTCTCTCTCTCTCATTCTTAATTGAAATCATGGTTTTTCTCATATGAACCTCTGCACTCCATCCTCATCTTCTTTCGGTAACCAAACCAATCAAAGAACAGTAGAGAAGCCCTCTTAGTTGGACTTATTGCTTTCTACATGAAAGTTTATATTTTGGAGTTTTAATTTTCTTTTCCTTTTTATTCAGTACCTATTCCTCTGCTCTCTTCTCTTCTGATTGACTGGTTGGGCCTTATTCGTTTACTTGAAAAAGCCTTCCTTTTTTCCGTAGAAATGGAGGTCTGAGCCAATCAGAACTAAGTTTCTGGCTCTGTCTATTTCCAAGTTATTATCTTAAGGCTATTGGGAATGATACCCATGTATGGAAAATATTTATTTCTCTACCTTTTTGAGGAATTGTTGAAGGCGAAAGTTTCTTGCAGTAATGCGCTTTACTCCAATATTAGCTGTAATATTAGTTGGAGTGAGTCGTAATTTTTGGTAATAGAGCGTATGTGATTTAATGCATAAAGATTTAGAGACATTTTTCCTATTTTTTCCTGGTTGTTGATCGGGTTTACCGAAGTTCTTAGAGGTTTCCTCAGACCCTTGATTTTGGATTTGGGGTAAATCATAAAACTTGGTAGGCATTTTAAGGCGCTGAGCGCCAAACTTTTTGCTGTGGTGAGTTGATTGGCTGAGGAATTGAGCAAATGTCTGCAAAGGTTTTACACATATTTAGTGAAGAAAATTCTGAGTTGCAGAAGCAAATTGGATGCATGACTGGAATCTTTCAAATGTTTGATAGACACAATTTGCTTGGTGGAAGGAGGTTTAAAGGGAGAAATAATAAGAAAATACCTCCAGGTTTGTTTGTCTTCTTCTTTTAATTTATAGTACTTTTGATTGATTCCCTTTTGCAGTTTTTTTTTTTAATGTTTCAATAACGCTGTATGCAAATCTATCATGATATCATGATATGATTATTAATCTGACTTTTTAGGTTGAATTTAAGGAGACAAATTTTCATTCTTAAGCTTATGATTTTGTTTTGAAGGACTGATTCCTGCTTTTTGTTTGATATGAGCACCTATTTTCATGGAAGTTTAATTTACAAATTCTCATTATTTATTGGATGCATGTTTTCTCAAAGCACACTAATATCTTATTGTTGTATGGCTAATTTATTTATATTTGGGCATCACTTGTGCTTAGGGGCTAAGATTTAACTTAAATAGAATTCAGTACATCCAGTTTGAGGTAATCTTGAGAGAATTTAAATATGAAAGTTGTTTGACTTAATATTAAATCTTATTAAATATTGTAAACTATTTGGATATTTATTTTACGGTTTAAAATTTCTGTTAAATGTGTTAAATCCTACCAATAGTGGAACTTAAAACATACTGAATTTAATGAATAACGGATTTGAAACGGGATTTGTCAAAATATTATGATTTCAATTCCCTAAAATTTTGTTTGGCAAGATCTAAGCCAAATCCTGCCTAAAATAGTATATCAAACAGCTCTTTGACTTGGCTTATTCTAGACTGCCTGACATACAATGCTGAGCTAAAATGAATTCACTGATTTGTTTGAGATCAATCAGTGCTGTTATTCTATTGTCTTATAAAAATTTAATCTGGTTTTTGCTATGTCTTTTCCTTTTCAGGAAATTCCTTTGTAAATGTCAGCAATTGTGGACCAGATAATGCTACATGTTCTCCTCAATTAGTTCTGGTGAGATTTTCTTTTGATAGAATGAATTTGTTTACCAGTGTATGTATTCAGGCCTATGAACAAATTTTTTGTTCATCCAGGAGAAAAATTTAAGTGAAAACCAAAGAATGTCAATGGAATCATCTAGAACTTCCTTCTCATCCTCATCTTGTTCATCATTCTCATCTATTGAATGTAATAAATCAACTCTTCAAGGACCAACATCCTTCAAGCAAGCAAATTTTCCGGATAAATCTGCAAAGAATTTACCGAAGTCTGAAAGCAAAGAACCACAAAGTCTTTCAGTGAAGTCTTCATACAAAGAGGAGTTCAAACAGCATGTACTGACCTACATTAATTCTCCAAGACCAATGCACCTATCAAATTCAATGGATGGATCTTATGTGATTAATGGGATAGATACCAAGAAATCAAGATCACATTTGGATCAAAATGAATCATTTAGAGTTCTTATGAAGATCAAAGAAGCTCCATGGACCTTTGAAGGAAAAGATGTCGCTTTAAATCGTCGGTTTTCTTATGATGGGAGAGAAATCTCGACCAATTTTCTTGATTCTTGTGAGAACGGAAAACGAACATCAAAACTTAGAGAATTTGCAAGACTTTCTTTGGACAGTAGGGAGAGTTCTATGAAGAGTTCTAACTCTATAATGAAGGATTTTGATGGGAATAGGAGCAAGAAGGAAAAAAACTTCACATATTCAAATGCTCAAAAAGAATCTGGAAGCAAGCAAAGTGTTTCTAGTGTTGTTGCCAAATTAATGGGTTTGGAAGCCATACCTACATTAAGTTCAAATCATGAAGAACAAGTTGATAGCATAAATAATTGCCCATTAAATACCTCAAATGATGTGAGAGAGAGTTTTGACTCACCGAGGAGCTCTCAAAAGAATCTAACTAAACACTCTGAAAAAAATCCAGTAGTAATTTCAAAACCTTCTTGTACTGCAAAGACTCAGATAGAACTTGCTCCTTGGAGGAAGCAGAAGAAGAAAATTCATGTTACCCAGAACACATTAAAGCAGCAGCCTGAGACTGTTTACAGTGAAATTGAGAAGAGATTGAAAGATCTTGAGTTTCATCATGCAAACAAGGATCTAAGGGCACTTAAGCAAATTTTGGATGCCATACAGGCTAAAGGGTTGTTGGAATCCCAGAAAAATGAACATCAACTTTCACCAAAATTAGTTACAATTAGGGCTGATGAAAATCTTAGATCTCCAATTGCCCAAAAACCGCAGCTGCTAGCCTCAACAAAGCGAATTAGTAGTAGAAGAACTTTTGATAAACCTATTGTAATCATGAAACCTGCAAAATTGCTCAACAGATTTGATGTCTCTGCAACTTCTAGCGATCATTTGCATGGCTTTACCAGAATTCAAAGGCTAAGAACTAGTGAGGCTGTGGATAGAAAGAAGGAATCTTTCAGTAGCAAATTGGCAAGAGATTGCAGTCCAAGAGCAAGCCCTAGAATTAATGGCAAGACCGAAGAAAATGACCAGAAAAGTTGTTCAAGAACTGATCTTGGTTCATCTAAGCCTCAGCATTGTTCAAGGGATAACAATGAAAAACCGTCATATGCTGTGAGTCCCAGGTTACTGCAAAAAAGGCTTGAAGTTGAAAGGAGGATTCGCTCTTTGGTTTCTTCTTCTGATTCAAGCAAACAGCAAGTTAATAAGCAGCCATCTGAGTCAGTTTCTCCAAGAATAAAACTTGGACGTCGACCCACTTTAAGTCAGCTGGGAGATGAGATGTCTCAGAGATCAGATAGCAATATGAGCACAGCGTCACAGCTGGATATGGAAGATACATCAGCAAAGAAAAACTTTGCTTCCCCAAAACAAGGAGGTCAAAAGGTATTGTATTGCAATTTGGATTCTAGTTTATATTCTTTATCTCAAAAAAATTTACCTTAGGGCCCATTTGGTTGCTTCAAGTTAGAAAACAGTTCTAGAAAATGTAGAAGTTTTTTAGATCCATCATTTGGTTGTACACAGTAAGAAATGAACATTAGTTTTAATCAGTTCAAATCTCTTCAAATTCTTCTCATATGTAAGGATTTCATTCACTCCCAAAATGAGTGAAGTGGAATATTTATTTCTTAAAAAATGTTGTCCTTCAAAAAAAAAAAAAAAAGGTCCGTTATAGAAAATTGAAAAGTTAGGATCCATATAGACTCAGCAATTACTGTGGTAAGCAGTGTATTGTTTTATATGTCAAATCTTTCTGTTAGACAATGTTCTATTTGCTATTGTGATTTCAATGCTGAAAAGTGCTTTGTTTTTTTATTTAACTCTTATCCCTATCAATTAATCTTGAAATATCTTGCTTTGCTTGTGTTCTTAGAATCCTCCAGATGCACTGGATGAAGAAGCTTCCACCTTAGCTCTTGCAGCTGTGGGTGCTGAACAGCCTAGTCCAATCTCTATTCTAGATGCTACATATCTTCATGATGACCTTCCATTTGCAGCGGTGAAGAGAAGCACAAATGTATCTAAAGGTGTGGAAACAGGCCCTTTGTTCTGCTATTCTTTTCAGTTTTCTTATAATAGTATAATTTTATGTTCTGTTTAGACAATTTAATCGCAATCTTAACATGCCATTGAGAGAGTGGCCCTGGAGTTCTGGTTAAATTACCTGTAGTGTATTCTCCAAGTGCAGGGTTTAAATGTTGGGCCCTGTAGTTGTGGTTAAATTACCTATAGTTTATTCGCCAGGTTCAGGATTTAAATGTAGGGATGGGGTTGTTTACATAAACTTCTCTATAGAGTCAATATTAGCAAGGGCTCCATGTCTGGAAATAGAAGAAACCTAATTCAATCATCAAGAGTTAAAAAAAAAAAAAAAAAAAAAAAGTTGACTAGTACACTAGTCGCCTCCAAAACTTTATTCAATTTTACCCAATTGATAGTTGCCTTATTGTTGCTACTACAAATTCTACTATGATGTAACTGTAGTTTTACATCTCTAATTTCTCAAATCTACCTTAAAGACATAACCCCTCTCTTTATAAAGAAACAAATAGGATAGATGGGATAAATAACATGTCCAAAATGCCCTATATAATAACAACATAAGTATTAGAAACTTTTGGGGGCTCCAGCTCTCAATGCCCTAGGAAGGGGCTCCATTCTCCCCTTCCAACCATCATGTATACTTTACCATGCAGATCAATCCATGACTAAGGTTTCATTTGGGACGGCTTTCTTATTACTTCTAAAAACAACTATTTAGTATAAATTTTTTTTATTTTGTACTAGAAAGCTGCTTTAAGAAGCAATAAAAAAACGGTCTCAAACGAAATCTAAATCTGCATCACACATTCGCTTTATACAGCAGAAAATCGATTTCCATCATAACACTCCACGCATGAGTTAAGAGTCTTCTTGTCTTATTTCTTTGAGCCAAATATAGTCTTCAATGACATTTTGAATCTTCTTGGCTCTTTTGTTACACTCAAATCTTTCTGAACTGGTGCTCTAGACTCAGGCAACTATTTCGGATATAATAAATTAGGTGTATGGTTGCTTCAGCCTCCTATGGTTCACATTATGTTAACATTAGGATATAATGTTTAACAATTCTGACAACATAACAGTTATCCTATTTCGATTTCCTATATCCATAACTTGTGCAAACCAATTGTTGTTTTACTTGAACAGGTAATAAGCTTCCAAATTCTTATAACGTCTGTAAATCTCATAAGATAGATTCTGAGAATAATCAGAAGAAACTTGAGAGAATCGGGAATCTGCTTCAGAAGCTAGATAAGCTTAGTTCAACTACAGAAAGAACTTCAACCACAGACCACATTGCATTACTATGTGAAACACAGAACCCGAATCACCGATATATCTCAGAAATATTGTTAGCCTCAGGTCTTCTAATGAAGGATCTCAGTTCAGAATCTTCTAATTTAATGCCAATTCAGCTTCAGCCTACAGGGCACCCTATTAACCCTGACCTGTTCCTTGTTCTTGAGCAGACAAAATCCAGCCAAGTATCCAAGTCTAAAATCATAAATGGAAGTACTTCACTCCATTGCAATTTTGATATCGAGAAGCTGCACAGAAAGCTTGTGTTTGATGTTGTTAATGAGGTTCTTGTTCAGAAACTTGAGCATCCTATGATTCTTCCGGCAAGGAAACTCCAAGGCAGGCTTCCAAGTGGACAACAGCTGCTAAAACAACTATGTTCTGAAATTGACCAGCTTCATACCGAGGCTTTTAAATCTGAAGATCCTGATGATGATGAGTACAATATACTCGGTGAGGAAATTCTTCAACAGCTGCCGGTAGATTGGAATGATTACAGAAGAGAATTTCCCTGCATTGTCTTGGATATTGAACGATCGATATTTAAGGATATGATAGATGAGCTTGTCTGTGGTGAAGCATCTAGTTTGAAGTACAAGTCTAGCAGAAGGCACAGGCAGTTGTTTGCCAAATGAGTGAAGAAAATAACCATAAAGTATATTTTATTTTTCCCTTATCTTCTTCTGTGAGTAGTTATCGAGTAAATACAGAATAAAATCAGATGATTTTCTGCAATATGTACAGTATCAATGATATTGGAACATACAACATATATGGGTTTATTCATAATCTCTAAATTAATTATATTGAATGAAGTTTTCTTATTATTGAGCAGTTTCTTGAAATTTTTGAAGGTGAATTGAAGTGATGTTCTGTTATCCATTTTGTATTTGTAACGTTCTTCTGATGTTTGCCTTTCCTGTTTGCCCATAGATTTGATTTTCAAAGCCCATTGGAAATAAACATTTTCATTTGAAGAAAACAAGGGGTCATTTGCTAACTTGATCTTTGAATAGAGAGAGTGGATCTAGAATCATGATTTGGTATCCTCCATCTTGATCTTCATGGGGATGAATCATGAAATATTGCCCCAAAATTAAAACATATAATTTCAGGGATAGATACAAATTTATCTGAAATCTCTTATTGGGCATGAACAATTTTAGAAGATGAATTGAAATTTGTTATAATTGACTAGCTCCAAACCAAAGTTTAATTGCATTTATGAGTTGAAGCTTTTTAAGCTCTTTAAATTTTAGATGTAAAAGAAGATCTTAGTTGTGCTTGTAGCCGTAGCCATTGGTATTAACGAACAGAAAATAATAGGGAAAGCTCATGTGATGTCATCAAGGAAGATATCTTCTTCTATGACTTAGATATCTACATTTATTATCTTTCTGTGTGGTTCTCGCATTTCTACAGGACATCTGCTATTAGTTGGCTTGAGATTTTTTTTTTCTTGTGATTGAGTAAACTTTATTTCAGAGAAGAGTGTGGTTCTCTTGGGCCCCATAGTGTGCATGTAACTATTGTTTTCACCAAATCATATGAATCTTCTTGTTTTCTGATAAATTATTTGGCAATTCATTTTATGATTTAAAATTTGTGAGAGTAGATATTCTTAAATTCATTAATTAATAATGTGTCTAAAGTGAGATTCATTAAAATAATAGAATTTTAAAATTCTTTTTGGCAGGATTTAAGCTAAATTTGCTTAAATCATGTCTAAAAAAGAATATCAAATAGCCTCCTAATGAGTCATTCAATAGCAAAACAGTGACTCATAATAAGAACAGAAATAGGCAACTCTTACTTTTGCAAGTATGCTGAAACTTCATAAAACATATGTAAAAATCGAACTAAAATCAGAAAAACATACGTTAATCCATAAAGTAGCATAATTGTTTACTCCTATACTTCAAACCACGCAAGAAAGGACCCAAACAAGTGAATAAAGTAATACGTGCCTTGGCGCCGCACGTCACTTAAAGGGTTAAATGACCTCCGAATGCCAAAATGATGGCATCGTTACGATCAGGACACTGAGATCTGTCAAAAGGGACGACTGACACTCGAAATTAAAGCATGAGGTTGATCAAACGATGGCGGATCAACAAACGGACTTCGTTGTTGCGTTCAGAACATTGTCAACCTATAAAAACTATCTTTTATTTATTCAATTCAAGGCATTCGGATTGGTGGAGCGGATCCCGAGGCAAAACACGAATTTTGAAAAAAATTGACCTCGTCACTACCCAAATGATGTTCGATCACAAAATGGATTCCGGCACTGCATTCAGAACATCCCAAATATCTTAGAATACATAATGATGACTTTCAATTTGATAAATTGAAGACATGCGAGGGGTTCGATATGGATATCAAGGCAAAACAAACATTTCAAGGAAATCATGCCTCGGTATCGCTCGGGCGACGTCCGATCGTGAAACTGTGGGCTCCGAAAATTCGGCCCCGGCCTCCTC